TGGATGTTCATAATTTCCCCAATATTGACTGGGACTCCCTTAGTGCCAGGTGCTTAGATGGGACAGAATTTGTTAGGTGCATCCAGGAGAGTTTCTGGAAACAATATGCAGGTAGTCCAACTAGGAGAAGGGCCATATTAGACCTTGTATTGGGGAATGAGCTTGGCAAAATAATCAAAGTTTCAGTGGGGGTGCATTTTGGGAACAGGGAACATAATTCCATAAGTCTTAAGATAGTTATGGATAAGGATACAACTGGTCTTCAGGTGAAAGTGCTAAATTGGGGTAAGGCAAATTACAACAGTATTAGGCAGGAACTGATAAATTAGATGGGGGCAGTGGTGGTTCTTTGATTCCACATCTGACATATGGCAGTCTTTTAAAGGCCAGTTGATCATAGTTCAGGATCAGTTGTTTCTGTGAGGATGAAAGGAAGCAAGAAAGACTTTTAGGAGGGCTAGAAGGGGCCATGAAATGTCAATGGTAAGTAGGATTAAGGAGAAGCACCAGGTATTTTAAATGTATATTTGGAGCAAGAAAGTAACTAGGGAAAGGGTAGGTCCATTCCTGGACATAAGAGGGAATTTGTGCCTGGAGCCAGAGGAGATGGTTTGGAGAGTACTTTGTATTGGTATTCATTAAGGAGGACTTAAATGATGGTAAGTTTAGAGAGGGGCATTTTGATATTAAGGAGGACTAAGAGGAGGTGTGGAGTGTTTTCAAAAACATTAAGGTGGATGAGTCCCCTGAGCCTGATGGGATCCATCCCAGGATACTGAAGGAGGCAAGGGAGAAGATCGCTGGGGTCTTGACAGAGATCTTTGTATTCTGTTTAGCCACAGGCAAAGTTACAGAAGACTAGAGAATAGCCAGTTGTTCTTTTATTTAAGAGCAACAAAATTAATCCAGGAAATTATAGGTCAGTGGTAGGGAAATTATTGGAGAAGATTCTTAGGGACAGGATTTACTTGCATTTAGAGAAGAATGTACTAGAGAGAATCAGTCTCTCAAATAGATTGACTGTTTTTAAATTAAAAAATGACAAAGATGATTGAGGGTAGGTCAGTGGATGTTGTCTACATTGACTTTACTAAAGCATTTGACAAGGTCCCTGATGGTTGGCTGGTCCAGAAGATTGAACTGCATGGAATCGGTGGTGGGTTGGCAAGTTGTATACAAAATCAGCATGGTTGTAGAAAACAGAAGGTAGTTGTACTGGGGTGTTTTTCTGACTGGAGGTCTATGACCATGTAGTGCTTCATAAGGATCAGTGCTGGGACCTCTGTTGTTTGAAATAGAAATATATAGATTTGAATGAAAATGTAAATGGTCTGATCAATATGTTTGTAGGCAACATGAAAGTAGACAGAGTAGGATAGTGAGGAAAGTTATCAAAGGACACAGCATGATATTGATCACTTGGGAAAGCTGGGCAGAGAAATGGCAGATGATGTTTAGTCTGGAAAAGAATCAGGTGATCCATTTAGGGAAGTCAAATGCAAGAGGAAAGTATACAGTAAATGGCAGGACCCTTGGGAGCATTGATATACAGAGGGATCTTGGGGTGTAAGTCCATAGCTGGTAAGGTAGTAAAGAAGGCATACGGTATGCCAGCCTTCATCAGTCCGAGCATTGAATATAAAAGTTGGCAAGTATGTTGCAGCTGTATAAGACTTCTGGTTTGGTCACATTTGGAATATTGTGTACAGTTCTGATCGCCACACTATAGGAAGGATGTGGAGGCTTAGGAGAGGATGCAAAAGAAGTTGCCTGGATTGGAGTGTATTAGCTATAATAAGCAGTTGGACAAATTTGGATTGTTCTCGCTATAGCATTGAAGGCTGAGGGGTGACCTGATAAAATTAAATAAAATTATGAGAGACATGTATAGGGTAGATTGTTGAAGCCTTTTACCCAGGGTCAAATACAAGGGTGCATAGGTTTAAGGTGAGAGAGGAAATGTTTAAAGGAGATATGCAAGGCACTTTTTTTTAAACAGAGGGTGATTTGATTTGATTTGATTTGATTTATTGTTGTCACATGTACCTAAGTACAGTGAAAAGTTTTGTTTTTGCAAGCAGTATGGGCAGATCATAGCAAACAAGGACATACGGATCATAGAGCGCTTAGACAGAATGAACTATATAAGGTTATGACTGCACAGGAGGTGCACAAAAGCAAGATCGACATTAGACTTGAAATTAGAGAGGTCCATTCAGCAGGTTAATAGCAGCAGGGAAGAAGCTGTTCATGAACCTGTTAGTGCATGTGTTCAAGCTTCTGTCTGACAAGAGATTGGAAGAGAGTATTACTGAAGGTGGGAGGGGTCTTTGATGTTGGCAGCCTTTTCACGGCAACGAGAAGTGTAGATGGAATCCATGGATGGAAGGTTGGCTTCCGTGATGGTCTGGACTCTGCCCACAATTTTCTGTAGTTTCTTAGGGTCCTGGCCAGAGCAGTTGCCGTACCAAGCCATTATGCAACCAGACAGAATGCTTTCTAGAGTGTATCTGTAAAAGATGGTGAGGATCCCTATGGACATACCGAATTTCCTTATTTTCCCAAGGAAGAAGAGGTGTTGTGCCTTCTTGACCGTCGGATCTAAATGGGAAGTCCAGGACAAATTGTTGGTTATTGTCATGACTAGGAAATTGACAATCTCAACCCTCTCCACCTCAGCTACATTGATATAGATAGGGGCTTCTCCTCCTCCTTTCTTCCCGAAGTCAATGATGAGTTCTCTTGATTTGCTGACATTGAGTCAGAGATTGCGATCATTGCACCACAACACCAAGCATTCCATCTCCTTCCTATATTCTCACTGATCATTGATTGATATCCAGCCTACAATGTTGGTGTTGTCAGAAAACTTGTAGATGGCTTTCGTACAAAATTTGGTTAGACAGTCGTGATGCTCCTGATGCACCTGTTCCCTCTGTCACCGCTGCTGTAGTACAGTAGGATACTGAGAACGCATCCTTGCAGGGTGCCAGTGTTGAGGATTATCGTGGAGGACGTGCTGTTGTCTATCTTCACTAATTGTGGTCTGTGGGTCAGGAACCTGAGGATCCAGTTGAGACCTGATCTCAGAGCTTTGAGATTTGTCAGGTAGGGATTATGGTGTTGAAGGCAGAGCTGTAGTCGACAAGTAGGAATGTGACGTAGGTGTCCTTGTTTCCCAGGTGTTCCAGGGACGAGTGTAAGGCTAGGGACATGGCGTCCGCTGTGGATCTGTTTTGCTGGGTGGCAAATTGCAGGGGATTGACGCCAGCTGAGAAGCTAGTGTTGATATGGGCCATGACTAACTTCTCAAAGTACCTTATGATTATGGAGGTCAGAGCCACTGGGTGGTAGTCTTTGAGGCATGTTGCATGTGTTTTCTTTGGTACTTGAATGATAGTGGTATTCTTGAAGCAGATGTGGACTTCACATTGTAGGAAGGAGAGGTTAAAGATGTCAGCGAATACTACCACCAGCTGGTCAACACAGGATCTGAGTGCACTGCTAGGGACTCCATCTGGGCCAGTCGCTTTCCTCGGGTTTATTCTCAACAAGACCGAGCTGACGTCTGCAGCGGTGACAGAGGGAACAGGTGCATCAGGAGCTGTTGGATTAGATGACACTGTGCCACTGGCATTCTGCTCAAAACGAGCATAAAAAGCACTGAGGAATGTGATAGGTGCCTGGAACATGCTGCAAGGTGGGGTGGGGTGTCTGGGTAGGAGCAGATTTGTTAGTTAAGTTTGAGACATTTATACAGACGCAGGGGATAGACAGCAATGGACATGTGCAGACAAATAGCATCAGTTTAGAACGACATAGTAGGCCTGCTCCAGTGATGTACTTATTTTTGGCGATACCGACTCAATTGTCCAAAGGTCCTGGTCCTATGCTGTACTGTTCTATGTTCTAACTCTAGACCTTTGTTTATACATCCCCTATTCATCTTATTAATAACTTTCTCAACCTGCCAAGCCAACCTGGATAATTTGTACACATATGCCCACTCAGTCTCTATTTTCCTTCATCTCCTACCAACTCTCACTTTTTCTATCAAACTAGATCTCTGCATTACCATCTGCCATATATTTGCGCATTTGACCCAATCTAGGGTCTTTTAAAATTCTGCACTATCCTCATAATTCACAATACTTCCAAGTTTTATATTATCTGAAAATTCTGAAATTGTGCCCTGTACACCCAAATCTAAGTAATCAATACAGATCAAGAGAAGCAGTGGCTTTGTACTGACCCATGGGAATGAACTCCACTGTAAACTTTCCCTTAGTCTGAAAAAATCTGTCTCCTCTCATGCAGCTAATTTTGTATTCATGTTGCCACTATCCCTTTATTCAATGAGCTTCAACTTTGTTGGCAAGCCTATGATGTGACATTTTATCAAACATCTTTTGGAAGTCACTGTATAGTACTGCAACTGCAACATTCTGATCAAAACTGTAAGCTTATTAAAATATTCTAAATTAGTTGCAATTTGCCTGTAACAAATCTGTGCTGAACTTTTCTGCATTAACTGATTTTTGAATTATTTTTACTAAAAGTGTCCATGCCACAGATTAAACTGACTAGCCTGCAGTTGCTGGGCTTAGTTTTATACCTTTTTATTTTGAACAAGGATGTAGCAATTTTCCATTCCTCTTGCACCACACCTCCATTTAAGGAGAAAAATTGCCAGTGCCTCTGTAGTTTCCACACTTGGTCCTTCTGTAATATCTCCCCAATTTTAAAACTGCCAATCCTGATTTTCAAATCTCTCCATGTCTTCACCGCCTCCCTACCATTACAATTTTCTCCTGCCCCACAATCCTGTGAGATATCTTCACCCCTCTAACTCCAACCTTGAACATCCTAGATTTATTTGTTCCACCATTGGTGGCTGTTCCTCAGAATATTAATGGTCTGTGGTGAGCGGGGCAGCATGAAAAGGTAACCAAATACAGGGAGTTTGTTTCCATTCCTAATGATATTGCATTTCTTGATAGCCCAGCACCTGAACAAATTGACTTTGATCCATTCAAACCTAGAGGATGATCCAGAACAAGTGCGCACCGCTTTTCGGCAGTTCTTGGGGGCAGTCGTGAGCTCTCTGTCCGAGAGCAGAGACAAAGAAGAGATGTCAATCATCACCTGAGAACACCATTGCGACGTTTTCACTGTCTGTAAAGCTTAAAGGATTGCCAATTCTTTGTGTTTGCTTTAATCACATTCAAAATAATTTGAATTCTGCTTCCCAACATAGGTGGACTTTTCATCAGATCAGTATCCAACCTGTCTGCATACACACCAATCTTAAAAGACAGAAAAGTGCTTCAAAAAGTATACACAAATTAGAAAATATTTTTGGTGAAACCAGTTAGCAGCAAATTGGCAATTTGTGTAGATTTGCACATTATCCACAATATTGATTCTATACAATGATATTGCATTTACTCAGGTTAGTGTTTCTACAAGTTGGTTAGTTGTTAAACAATACATTGAGTGAGCAGTGTCGTACTTTTTACAGAATAAACTGGTCAGTGGCAGCATGCCATCTTTGATTCTAGTGGTCATATTGCAGATGATTCCTATGAAAGCAATATCTGTCTGGCTCTCAAGTATTTGCAATATTTACTTTGAAATGTGATTTTATTAGCAATTAATGTCAGGCACATTCAGATACTGAAATTAAACATTATCTTTGTGTATAACTCTGGATAAGCAATCAAAAGTCCAATTTTCCCGACACCTTAATTGATGTTTTAAAAATATGTTTTGAAAAGGTTGTCTGACTTCTCCTGTGTAATAAACATGAAGATTTTAGCATGAGTCTGGTTTCTTAATTAGTTAGTGAAATAATAAAACAGGCTGTTAAATGTTATTTATTTATTCCATGTATTTGCCACTGGTATCTCATACCTAGCAGTGGCAACTGAAGGAGGTTGAATGAATTAAATTTTTGATTGTTATAAATAAATGCCTACTTTCACACTTGTGGCATTTCTGGTTTTGTTCAACACCAAGGAAGAAGATGGCTAGTATTCAGCCTTTTAAACTTTGTAGAATTATTTGACTTTCACTCCCCTGGGCACCTGGTGAGTTCTGATCAGATCTGTAGATCCTTTTTGAATCCTATTGGCATCACATTTTAGTCAGTTGTTCAGAAAGATGGTGCTAGATTTTCTCATGGAACGATTAGTTTCTATGATAATGGGTGAAAATATTCTTGCCTGGCTACATTCTTATCTACACAGTCATACATAGCTTGCAAAGTAATTGCTTCCAACTCCCACTCTGAAATCCTTGAAGCATTTATACTTTATCCAAAACCACATTGTGTGGAATATATACGCTGATGACATCCTTTTCCAATTGATCTCTGTTTCCAATTTGGATGAACAGACATTTTCTCCGACTAAATACTGGGATGACTTGAAGCCCTTCTGCCCAAGCCCAACCTCCTTCCTGGCTACTGACGGAGGCTGAGTCAGAATGTTTGCAATTTCAGGATATTTGGCTGAAAGTGAGCTTTCAACCACTTATGTTATGGACCAGATCAAACTCCCTCAAAATATGTTAAGAGTCTAGACCCTAACTTTTTATTTTATAGGCAAGTGTAAGGCAGTGTGTTCTGGATGCAATTTGATTGGTCAAAGTACCAGGTTTGAATCGAAACACTTTACTCATACAAAATAAGAGGATTGGCTTAATTGTGACTCTACAAAAATGCTTAAAATATACTAACTTTGTGGTAACATAGTAATATTTATAAACAAACGTTTGGCAATGCTTAAAATATACTAACTTTGTGGTAACGTAGTAATATTTATAAACAAACGTTTGGCAAAGGAAAATTCAATAAAATAGATTGTCTCTCATGCAATTCTAGCAGCCCTATAGCAAAAACATCCACAGAAAACTCAGTGTAGCTGGGAGAAATATACTGCAGCTCCCAAACCCTGCTTCAAGACCCCAGCAACAACTGCTACTGAAAAAAAATTCTAGTTCTGTGGGAGCTTGACCCCACTCATTCAAGCTGCTTCTATAGTTCCAACAAAAAAATCACCCAAAGTCTCACAAGCTGTTTAATCTATTGGATTCAAATAGAAGCTCATACCTCTGTCTTAAACATTTCTTCAAAAAGAAAAACTAAGACACAATGCACCTCTTAAAGCCATTAGTATCATCACATTTACCCATACCATCAACAAGACTTCCACTTCAAACCATAGAATGGTTACTAGAAGGGGAGGAGGCTAATCGGTCTGTCGAGTCTATCTCAGGGACAATTCACCTGGAGCCATTCCCTGTAGCACTGCAAAATTTCCTCTTTCAAATAATTATCCAAAAACTTTTTAAATACCATGGTTGACCCTTCCTCTATCACAGCCTTAGGCAATGCATTCTAAATGCTAACCACTCAGTGCAGAAAAATGTTCCTGTCTCCATTGCTGCTTTTGTTGATTACCTTAAGTCTGTGCCTTCTTGTTCTGAATCCTTCCTCTATTGGGAATAGTTTCTCTGTCCACCCCCCTCAATTTTTGAAAAATCTCCAGTCTTTTCTTGTGTGCTCCAACAAGATCAGTCCCAACTTGTTCAATCTTCCTATATAACTGAAGTTCATCACAAAGCACTTATTTGAATCTTTTCTGCATCATCTCTAATAACTTCTCAGCCTTTTTAGAAAGCCTGCTGTAGAAAGAGACAAAACAAAAGTGCAACAGCATCTATACCTTAAGAACTGGAATTTGTAACATAATGTCTCCAAGTCTGTTCCTTTTCAGGTCATTCAAAGCTGTAAACTGAATTCCAGATAACTAGACAAACTGTTAACTTTGTGACCTGTAGAAAGTCCAGTTTTTTGTGTGAATCAGGAGAATGATTCTAGCATAAGACTTCAGTTGTTAATTCGCCCAAACTTTACTTTAGGAGTAATTAGGTACAATTACAAATGCATTTTCCTGAACAAGATGAGAATGGTGAACTGCTCCACTTGGTTACAACTTGGAAAAGTGCAATTTCTGTTCAACTGTCCTCAGTGTGATTGTGTAAATGGATAGTGTAGTATTGGACTTTGGGGTGAGTGGTTAAATCATAGAATCCCTACAGTGTGGAAACAGGCCCTTTGGCCCAACAAATCCCCACCGAACCTCACAGCATCCCACCCAGACCCGTCCCCCCCTAACCCACCCAATCTACACCTCCCTGAACACTATGGGCAATTTAGCATAGCCAATCCACCTAACCTGCACATCTTTGGACTGTGGGAGGAAACCCACACAGACGCGGGGAGAATGTGCAAACTCCACACAGACAGTCGCACAAGGCTGGAACTGAACCTGGGTCCCTTGCGCCGTGAGGCAGCAGTGCTAACTACTGTGCCACCGTGCTGCCCTAATAAGCAATCAACTTTCATTTCCCATGAAGCTCACTACTGATTATTCAAATTCAAATCCACACATAACTTTTTCTCAAAAATACAAAGTGTGAACAGTTGAAAGAAACTCCAACAGTTCCTCCTCACCTTGTCTACCAAAATTGATTTCTCCCTTCTTTAAAGGCAGCCCATTGTTCAACTATAGCTATACTGCTAATCGATTTGAATTTCTCAGGGTCAGATCCATTCTCACCCCATTGGAGTTGGCTTTACCCTAGTTAATTATTTTTACTCCAGAATATTCCTTGTCCTTTTCCCACAGTAAACATAAATATTATAATACAATGATCTGCATCATTGTGATGGAGAAACAGAGAACTAAGTGTCATTATGTACATCCTTCCAGCTTCTGCCTTCCTTTGTAGACCAGCCCAACAACTGCCTGTCTCACCTGCAGTGGTAGTGTCCCATCTCTGGGCCAGAAGGCCCACCTCCCCAGCCATGGCATGCTTTCAGGTTTGCCCAGCTAGTGTCAGCCAATGTCTGCCTTGAATCGGGTCAATTTTAAACTTAGTAATCAGACACTAAGCAGCTGACAACCTGAAGTGAATCAGTTGAAGGATTGTAGCAGAGAAAATCAGCATTAATAATGTTTTAAATCACAATTACAGTCTCATAAAAGATCAAAGCAAAATCATATTTAAAAACAAGATTTAAAACAATGGAATTGCAATCTCCAGAAAGCCTGGCACAGTGATGCACAAAAATAAACATAATAAACAGACTGTAAATACAAAGAAATCTGAATGAGACATAGGCCAAGTCACTGTATCTATCTTTATTTATGTAAATGTTCAGCTGACGGGAAAGATGTCCATACAGGTTTTGGAAATTTTCTGCCATTCACACACTTGCTAATACCCTCCGAGTCTGTCACATGCCCAGAGCAGCTTACCATACAGAGTAGATACAGGATATTATTCCTAGTACTGATCCAAATGTATCTCATCACCTCCCTGTAATATAAATCGCCCATAAATATGGCTGCCCAATTTGAAATGGAAGGCTGTCCTTCTGGTCTTCCTACAGGACCAATAAAATGTCAAATTCTAATAATTTTTTGACCATTGGTTGCTTTACATAGGAATGTGAAGAGTTCTCAACTTAATTTTCCAGCCAGAAATCTTAGTGTCCTCAAATTGAGGTGGGTATAGGGAGTACTGTGCAAACTCATTGCACCAACCAGTCCTAATACCTTTATAGTTTAAGCCGCTTCCTTCTCATTTCCTTTCCTTCTTCCTGTTCACTCTCACTGGGTGCTGTTGATTGATTTTGCTCGTCCTTGTATTTCTGTTGGATTTTCCGAAGTATAGCTGGGACCTTGCAAGTCAATTCCCTAACAAAGGCCAGGCTCTCACGAACATTGCTGACTGCATTACTCCTCCAACTGCTATCCAGATTGCTGAACCAGTGAATTCTCTGCTCAAGTTTCAGCTCAATCAGCTTTTGGTCTTCCAATTCAGTAAGAAGAGCATGTTTGGCCATAATTTCACATCTGTAGCAGTGTTCGAGCTCAGCTATTTCTGACTGTAAGTCCTTGAACTGTTCCTCAGTGTATGGGTACTTTTCCTGGACGTGATCTTCATGAAGCAGAATATTTTCAGGAATGTAGAAAATGTGTTGCAGAATCCCTTGCTCAACCCTCTCAAAGATCACATCAAATCGTTCTTTCATTATTTGAAGGAAGCTCTCCGTACAGGCACGGATCTGAGATGGAGTCACACTGCTATCTGACATTTCCTTCAGTTTCTTGAAAATGACTCGTTCTACAACCAGCATGACATCAAGGAGAGAATCCTGGATTCCACTGGACACTCTCAGAACACAGGTTTGGGGAGAGAACCCAAAAAATTGGGTCTCATATGTCATCAACCTGTCTGCCATTTTAAAACCTAGACAGACAGTGAATGGGGGAAAACAATGTTAAAACAAATAAAGAAAAGTGAATAACTAAATAAATGTGACCAAAGAAGGAAAGCTCACACAGTATTTCTCAAAGTGTCTATTAATCCAAGTAGTAGAAAATATTTTGCTGTATTTATTTTTGAAGATAACGGTAGTGTAGTGCTAGTATCTCTAACTCTCAACCAGGAGGCCCTGACTCAAGTCCCACCTGCTCTAGAGGTGTGTAAAATCTGGCGGCCAGTGACTAATGAGGTACCGCAGGGTTGGGTGCTTGGACCCTAACTATACACAATAATAATGACTTAGATAAGGAAGTGAAATGTAATATCTTAAAGTTTGGAGGCAACACAAAGCTGGGTGGGAAGATGAACTGTAAGGAGAATGCAGAGATGCTTCACTGTAATTTCGACAAGTTGAGCAAGCAGGCAAATGCATGGCAGATTATGTATGATGTGGATAAATGTGAGGTTATCCAACAGAAGGCAATTGTAAAGGGTATTGGAGATACCACACCTGGAGTATTGTGTTTAATTTTGATATCCTTAACTGAGTAAGAAATTTAGGGCTATGGAGGGAATAGGCAGAACTGACATATGAAGAAAGACTGGATCAGTTAGGACTATGTTCAGTGACGTATAGAAACACAGAAGATAGGAGGAGGAGGCCAGTCACCCTTTAAGCCTGCTCTGCCTTTCTTCACAATCATGGCTGATTGTCCAACTCAATAGCCTAATGAGCAGGAAAGTTGACATTTCAGGTCAGGACCATTTCTGAAGCAGGGTCCCGACCCGAAACGTCAACTTTCCTCCTCCTCTGATGCTGCCTGGCCTGCTGTGTTCCTCCAGCTCTACAACATGTTATCTCTGACTCCAGCATCAGCAGTTCTTACTGTCTCAATAGCCTAATCCTGCTTTCTTCCCATAACTGTGTCTGCGTGGGTTTCCTCCGGGTGCTCCAGTTTCCTCCCATAGTCCAAAGATGTGCAGGCTAAGTGGATTGACTATGCTAAATTGCTCATAGTGTTCAGGGATGTGTAGATTAGGTGGGTTATCAGGGGATCGGTATGGGTGGTATGCTCCGAGGGTCAGTGTGGGCTTGTTGGGCTGAAAGGCCTGTTTCCACACTGTAGGGATTCTATGATCTATGAACCGTTGCTCCCATTCGTCCCAAGTGCTATATCTAGTCGCCTCTTGAATACATTCAATATTTTGGCATCAACTACTTCCTGTGAATTCCACAGGAGAATGAGGGGGATTTCATAGAAGCTGATAAAATTCTGACAGGGTAAATGTAGGAAGGATGTTCACAATGACTGGGGAGTCCAGATTCAGGGGTCACAATTTAAGAATACGGGGAAGGCTGTTTAGGACTGAACTAAGATGATAAGATGATGCAGGGCTGGATGAACACAGCAGGCCAAGCAGCATCATAGGAGCAGAGAGGCTGACGTTTCGGGCCTAGACCCTTCATCAGAAAAGGGGGAGGGGAAGGGGGTTTTGAAATAAATAGGGAGAGAGTGGGAGGCGGATAGAAGAGGGATAGAGGAGAGGATAGGTGGAGAGGAAACAAACAGGTCGAAGAGGCGGGGATGGGGCCAGGAAAGGTGAGTGTAGGTAGGGAGTTAGGAAGGGGATAGGTCAGTCCAGGGAGGACGGACAGGTCAAGGGGGCGGGATGAGGTTGGTCGGTAGGAGATGGAGGTGCGGCTTGAGGTGGGAGGAGGGGATAGGTGGGAGGAAGAACAGGTTAGGGAGGCAGGGACGAGCTGGACTGGTTTTGGGATGTGGTAGGGGGAGGGGAGATTTTGAAACTTGTGAAATCCACATTGATACCATTGGGCTGCAGGGTTCCCAAGCGGAATATGAGTTGCTGTTCCTGCAACCTTCGGGTGGCATCGTTGTGGCACTGCAGGAGGCCCAGGATGGACATGTCGTCTGAGGAATGGGAGGGGGAGTTGAAATGGTTCGCGACTGGGAGGTGCAGTTGTTTATTGCGAACCGAGCGTAGGTGTTCTGCAAAGCGGTCCCCGAGTCTCCGCTTGGTTTCCCCGATGTAGAGGAAAGATGATAAGAAATTACTTTACCCAGCAGCTGGACAGTCTGTGGAGTTCCCTTCCACACAAAACAAGCTGAGGTCAAAACATTGAATGTTTTCATGGAATTTGGGCAAAAGGGATCAAAGGGTAGGGGGAATAAAACAAGGTACTGAGTTGGATAATCAGCCAGGATCATATTGAAAGGCATAGCCAAGCTCAAACGGCCAATAGGCGTACTCCTGCTATCTTTTGTTTCTGTCTCACTACCCTCATTTCCCCTCTCATCTCATTCCCACCACCCTCCCCTCATTCTTCTCATCCTCTCTCTCCCCCAACTTCCCTGTCCTCGCTCACTCTGCCTCCCCTCATACCCTTACCCCTTTAGCGCTCCCTCTCTCCGTTTTTATTTATTTTACCTGTTCTAGTGAATTTTTTTTTCTCTGAATGGTTGTTGTTGTTTCTCCGTCTCGAGCTTACCCGCCGAACAAACACCTCCCTCACTGCGCATGCACTGACCCCTGGGTGGGGTCAGCTCCGGAAGTGACGCAAGGACCGGAAATTTCCCCGTGGCCGCGCTGAAGATGGCGTATCAGAGTCTGCAGCAGGAGTACCTGCAGATCCCCCTGGTAACGCGGGCTTATACCACCGCCTGTGTGCTCACCACTGCTGCTGTGGTAGGTGCTTCACCTCGGCCTGGGGGCGACCGGACAAAAGAAGAAGGGGCAGCCGTGGCGAATTGGACCATTGGGGGGGAGGTATCCGTCTCTTCCCCATCCCCGGGACGTGCTGTGGGAATTCCCCCTTCTGGGGAGAAGGTGTCTGATCTCCCACACCGGGAGAAGATACCTGACCCCCACCCCGCGTAAAGGTGTCCGTTCTCCTCATCCTGAGGAGAAGGTGTCTGATCAGCACTGTGGGATGAAATATTATGCAAAAGAAATCAGCCATGTGACACCTTGTAGTAAAGATACAATACCAGTTAAATGGGTTTAAATGGGCTGCAAGAATAGAGAGACCCTGGGAGTGCTTAGCCACCAATGTTTGAAGGTGGCAGAATAAGTTTTTTTTTAAACAAAAGTAATTAAACATATTGCATTTTAAATTTTCAGCTACTGAGAAAGTTGTGTTGAACATGATTTAAGACCCCAGTTTGGCTCCTTCTGGAGTATGACACCAATGCTGGACAACACTATTTAAGAAGGAAGTGAAGATTTTAGAGAGGGTTCAGAACAGATTTTCTGAAATTGTTACAGGGTAGGGAATTGCATGTACACCAATCTGGAGTTTACTGTAGAAAAGGGGGATAGCTTACCTCAACTCGAGGAAATTAATAGTGGACAGGAGACAGGGACTGTAATTTTTTTCACACAGCCTGGTTTGTCTGTGTAATGAACTTCTAGAGGTAGTGTGAATGTGGGTACAGTTAGAACATTTAAAAGACATTTGGATAAGTACATGAATAAGAAATGTTTGGAGGGATATTGGCCAAGCACAGGCAGGTGAGACTAGTTTAGTTTGTGATTATGGTCAGCATGGACTGTTTGGACCGAAGGGTGTGTTTCCACACTGTAGACTTTAATACTCTCTGACCAGATAAAATTACATTGGTAAAACATCGAGGAAATTAATGGAACTAAAGAATGACAAATCCTTAGCACCACACCTTAGGAAAGATATATTGGCCTTGGAGGGAGTACAGCAATGGTTTACAAGTATGACTGTACTTCAAGGGTTGAGTTATGAGGAGAGATTATACAAATTAGGCCTGTTTTTTTTTCCTACAACTTAGAAGGTTAAAGGGTGATCTGATCAAAGTTTAAAAGATACTCACAGGACAGTCCCAATATGTGACCAATGAAAATACTTCCACATTAAAAATAAATTGGATTACACACCATGTTGTAATAGTTGTAACCTTTGATTATGGCAGCTTTCACAAAAATTCAGCATTTCCGTATTATGTTTGAGCCCAAAGCATTTTGGAATTGTAAGTTTAGATAGGAGCTCAAGAAGAGCTATTCATTCCAATTTCTCTTCCCTGTATCTTTCTAGATTCTCTGTTTTCAAATTCTGCAGCCACTACTCATAGAGCAGTCAGTATTACAGTAACCCCATGTTAATGCCCTTGGGCGGCACGGTGGTTCAGTGGTTAGCACTGCTGCCTCGTACCGCCAGGTTCGATTCTGCCCTTGGGTGACTCTCTATCTGGAGTTTGCACATTCTCCCCATGTCTGTGTGAGTTTCCTCTGGGTGATCTGGTTTCTTCCCATTGTCCAAAGATGTGCAGGTTAAGTGGATTGGCCATGATAAATTGCCCATTGTGTCTGGGGATGTGTAGGTTAGATGGATTAGCTTTGGGAGCTGCAGGGATAGCATAGGGGGCTGAGTCTGGGTGGGATGCTGTTCAGAGAGTGGGTGTGGACTTGGGGTGAGTGGACTGTTTCCACACTGTAGGGATTCTGTGAATACACGTTGTTCTGCACTTTTTTTTCCTCGTCTGATCTTCCCTTCTTACCAATTTTCCAGCATAGTTTAATACAGGTTCATGGTTGATGAGAAAGAAACAGAATAACTGTCTTACAACATTGTATCAGCACCTGTGTAGTTGAAACGCAGTGTAGTACAGTAATTGAAAATGAGTCTGTCATTGTGAATGTCACACTATAATTAGGGAGCTAAGCTGACATTCATGACTGTTGAGGATTGCGTGTGTCACCCAGTATAGCTAGTCTCACCCCTGTTTAATATTCCTGGTAACGACCCATGTTTTACAAATGTTCAGATGATTCACTGGAGCACTTAAAATGAACCATCTGGAGCAAACTCTAAGTATGCACACATATTATGTCTTTTACTGAACTCAATCTAGGCTGTTTCACAATATAACTTGGGTGTGTTGAAAAATCTACAGAACACAACTGCACATTTGAATTTAGAGAGATTTGCATATACTTGTGTTTATCATTGAATTTTAAATGTATTTTTGCTAGCTTGCCATTACTGGTCATGTTTAATAATATCATTATTGATAGAGTCCCTACAGTGTGGCCATTTGCTCCAACAAGTTCACACTGACTCTCTGAAGAGCATCCCCCCCCAGACCTAACCCCCTCCCCTGTAACCCTGCATTTCCCATGGCTAATCCACCTAACCTACACATCCTTGGACATTTTAGCACAGCCAGTCCACCTAACCTGCACATCTTTGGACTGTGGGAGGAAACCCACATAGACACAGGGAGAATGTGCAAACTCCACACAGACAGTTGCCTGAGGCTGGAATTGAACATGGGTCCCTTGTGTTGTGAGGCAGCAGTGCTAACCACTAAGTCACCATGACCCCCGTTATTAGGTGCTCGTGGATTCAAGCTATTCTTCAGAGGCTTAAACCCATAGGCTTACTCCATGACTGAGGTAGTGCTTCACTCTCCAAGGTGTCATCTTTAGCGTGAACCTTTAAACTGAATGACCACGTACTTTCTCAAGTGCACGTGAAAGATCCCATTCCTCCATTTAAAGAATGTTTTACAGCGCCTGACTGCAGTTCATCCCTCAACCAACACCACCAAACCAGGTTAATGGTTTTTGTCATTGACATTTCAAAGCCACTCATGATTTTGAATACAAGTATCAACTCTTCTCTTGCTCCTCTCAGATGTAAACTTACCTGAGTTACCCTAGTCTTCCCAGGAAACTGAAGACCATCATCTCTAGCATAACTCTCGTCTTTCTCCAAGGATCCAATATCCTACTTTAACCATGTCCAGAATTCAACACATTCCTTGAGCTGAGATCCAGCCAATGTGTTTTGAAGATTTAACAAGACATCCTTGTTTTTTGTACAAAAGTAGAATGGTAGAAATGTGAAATAAAATCAATCAATGCTTGAATTCACAGCAGGCCAGGCAATGTCAGTGAAGAGAGAAACAGCGTTAACATTTGAGGTTGATGACCTTTAATCAGAACTGAAGAAGGATAGAAATGCAATAGCTTTTGAGCCATTGAAAGGGAAAGGAAGCAGGAAGAAGAAACTGGAAACTCTGTGACCGTGTGAAAGGCAGGAGAGATTTACAACTAAGTCCTTTCATTATGTAAAAGCCATGGTCCCAGAATGGACCATCAGTTTTGTGTATGATCCCAGACAAGATCACTAAATTATGATATAATATTGTTAGGAACAAGTAGCGTTTATTTTTATAGTAGAAAAAAGGTAAGATGCAAGAGTTTTACTAGGAGAATGAAGACACAACATTTTGTCGATTTAAACAAAGAACAATAAATTTTACAATGTTAATGCAGTAATGCAATCTACAATGCACGTACAACTTGTAATCCAGAACTAAATATGGTGAGCAGTTAAACAATGAATTAGTTATACATATGAATAACAATCTGTGATTAAACACCCAAGGTGTCCATCAAATAGAAAGTGTGATAATGAAAAATACCACAGATTTCTCAGCATCTCAGCCCGTCCCCAGATATCAATGCACATTGGGCCATCAAATCTCAACTTTACAAGAGATTCACAATTTTTCACCTTCTTTCTGTTCTTCACAATCTGGCCATAAAAATCCCTCTTAAGTGTCTCTTCCTCACAAAGTGCTTCACGGACTGTTCCTGCTCTATCCATCACCCTTCTGTCCTCTGGCATCAGTCCCATTTCGAAGGATGCTTGGGTGCTTGGGTCCAGCTACTCTACGATTTCCATCCTTGTGTCTTTTGGCAATCCAGGATGCATTACATCAAAACCTGAGGATTTTCCTGCTTTGAGAACTGGCTTTCTTTTATGTTCCTCTTCTTCACCAGTTTCAATCTTATCCAATTTTTTCCACTCCTCCTCCTCTGCTGTTGTTCTGGTAACAACTTCCTCTTATGAGGCCAGACTGAAAGTGCTCACTTTGTACCTCCACCAGGCCCTTTGCCTCCAGATGAAGATCTGGAAAGCCCTGATTGAAAGGCAGCACATTCCAGATCCTAACCAGTTATTTAAAAAGTTGTTTGTTATGTCACCATTTTTTTTGTTGCCAGTAATGTTAAATCCATAGGTTCCTTACTTTCCAACTGCTCCTATCTTCTATGTTTCTATGAGAGCAGTTTCTTTCCATCTTTTCCATTGGCTTCATGATTTTGAATACCTCTCCCAAACATTTTGTCAAATTCCAAGGAAAACATCCCCAGTTTCTCCAATCTATCCACAAAACCAAGCTCCCTCATCCCTGGAACCATATTATGTATTTTCTGTGTACTTTGTTTATCTTCTACTTGTGCATCCCCCCACTAAATTAATCAAGGATATTGTTCAAGCACAATTTATTTACCTTGAAAATAACTCCTGCCTCAACTGATACTGCTGGGGTGGCAAAAGGTGGCTCAGTGCTTAGCAATGTTGCCTCACAGCACCAGAGACCTGAGTTCGATTCCACCCTTGGGCAATTCTGTGTGGAGTTTGCACATTCTCCCCGTGTCTGCGTGGGTTTGCTCCGGTTTCCTCCTATAGTCCAAAGATGTGCAGGTTAGGTGGATTTGCCATGCTAAATTGCCCGTAGTATTGAGGGGTGTGTGGGTTATAGGGGGATGGGTCTGGGTGGGTTGTTCTGTGGGTCGGTGTGGATTTGTTTGGCCGAAGGGCCTGTCCCCACACTGTAGGGATTCTATGAATGAATCTAAAGTTCATCCTTCCGCACCATTACTCCAGCCACGTGTTAACCTCTTTTATTTTACTTTTCCTATAATCAAGCACTGTGATTGATTCCAAGATTATCTGTGAGATCCTGCTCTTTAACTTCCTCCAGAACTCCTCAAACCTCGGCAGATCATGATCCTTTCTCTCCCTATATTCCTGGTTCACAGATGGGCTTCTATAATCCTCCCTCGAAATATTCTGCATCCGGTCAGTTCTTTATTGTGGTACGAGGGGAGCAATAGACAATGCAGCGCTCATGTCAGCAGCTGCAGAAACAATTACCTATCATCATAACTATGGAGTCTCCTATAGCTATTGTATCTTGCAGTAACCTCTGTACCATCATTTATCCCATTGTATTGCGGGTGTACTTTAAGACTGCATTTCAAAAGTACGTCATTTGCTGTAAATTGCTTTAGGATAATGTAAGAAAGGTGCTATGAGGTACAATTTTCTTCTTTTATTTCTTTGTGAAAAGTAAATGCCCTGTTTATTTTCTTTCAGCAATTAGAAATAATCACACCATTCCAGTTGTACTTCAATCCCGAGCTTATATTTAAACACTATCAAGTAAGTGTTGTGTTTGTAAGTTTAATGCATTATGCTGCATGGATAGTATATAATCACCATTCCTAATATTTCCAGTACAGCAGCAGTTATTTCCCCTTCTGTGACAATAGGTTCAGTACTGTTCTTCAACAGTCACCTGAACATTAGATCTCTTAGGCCAGCATTTCGTTGATTGAGTCAACCAGTTGTTTCCCCTTGTTCTGATAATGTCAGAAAATGCTGAATTGCACAGGCTGTGGTGGCTTTGTGAATTATAAGTTGAACAGCAGGAATTTAAAATAGCTATGTACCTGAGAGTTGATTTTTATCAATTGCCATGATGTCTTTAGTAAGTTATTTGTTCATTTCTCACCCTGTCCTCCTGTAGTGTACATCATTGCCTGCCTGCAGTGCTGAGATACATCATTGGCCACAGGTGACTGATTCCCCAACCTCCTTTCAGAAACTGCCCAATATCAGAGTGAGCATCAGGAACTCTGTCCTTGGAGATAGTTATTGAGAACCTGAAAACGTACTTCCCACACACTGACTGCATTGTGCCCTTCAGATTTCCTCGGTCTGTTTGATTTCTCACATCATTTTCCATTGACAGTTGTTAGAGACAGCTAGTCACGGCTTTCTCTGCCCCCTCCCCAGTTTCTGGTGTTCATTCCTCATTGGGTGATGTTACCAGGGCATTGACTGGCATTATGACGATGATGCTGGCAACGTGCTGGTTGACATTCCCGAGGAACCTTCACAATTCCAATTCCCTTCTTCCTCAATACACTTTTAAGTGATGTCTTTAGTATCAGTGCTGTTACTAAGCTGAGTACTGTCGAGGAGCAAGGATTTTTTTTAAAATGACACATAAAGGAAATGAAATGGATTTCCAGACTGTAACATTAACCCATGTTTTCTTTTCTTGTAGATTTGGAGATTAATCACAAATTTCCTGTTTTTTGGTACAGTGGGATTTAATTTTTTGTTTAATATGATATTCCTGTATCCTTTTGACAGCTGTTGAAATTACATGTAGAAATTTCAGAAAACTGATTTTTGCATAAGAATTAAACTGGTTGATTATTGCTAATGACAGAAAAGATGTCTGTTTACAAATTGCATTTGCAACAGATAAAGAAATCCGGTTTAAAGACAGTGTTTATTCCCTCCAAAAATATTTTCTGCTTGCAAAAATTTTTACTTTGATACATCTTGCATTTTCTTAACCATTACTGCAGATATCGATATTGCCGGATGCTTGAAGAAGGGTCATTCAGGGGTCGAACTGCAGACTTTGTGTTTATGTTTCTCTTTGGTGGATTTTTAATGACTGTATCCTTCAGCTTTTTCTTTAAAATATATGTTATCAAACTATAGGAGATCAGTAAATTAACTAAATATATTTAACAAGCGTACAGCTGTCACTTAATAACATTAATACTTTGCCACAGAGCTCAATGGCTTCCACTGTCACTCATAGCCTCATCCCATCTAACGATAGCTTCCCACAGGCTACTGGTGAAGTTCAGTAACCTCAGCACAGACTTGAATCACACTGAGGACCTTCATACCTCTATAAACTCATAGTTCTTTTACCTTAGTAATTGTCTTTGGTCTGCTGTGCTTTTATTTTTAGTCTATTGCTAGGCTATCGTACAGGCAATCTGCAGGTTGTGAATGGGTTGCATCCCTGAGTCCGTTTGCAAGTGGACTTGTATGGAAGTCAAAACACAATACACAATGTAAAATAGCCGTTCATGAGTACTCTGAAATGTATGTCAGATCTTTAAAGTTGTTATTAATACACACCATATGGGATTCCATTAATCACTTTTGTGAGTTGGATGTTCATAAATTGTGTATCCCATAATATGTTTCTAGGGTGTTGTATGGTCTGTATAGTTCTCATTAAAATCATAGAAGCGCCCATTCATAAAAGAGTGCAAATCAGGTTGACAGTGTCTGAAGCTGATTCTCCTTGCGTAGCTTCCATCTTGTCTCCCGGCACTGTCACACCTAGCAGTGCCCAATGGATATGTCTTCATCATTTGCTGTAATGCTTAAAATATTCCGTTGTTACCTTTTCAAATGGAGTTGCTTCGTTGAGCATTTTGACCCAAATAGGGCACCTTGAACACAGGGGAAAGTCACAAACAATCAAAGAACACGTTATTATTCGTAAGTGTTACGTACATCGGGTAGATAGTGATGCCTTACTGAAATGAGTAATGAGGGACAAGCTCTCCCTGTCCTCCTCTCCCTCCTCTGACCTTCCCCTCATCTTCATCCGTGCACCTGCCCCCCTATTCTTGTCCCTCTCAGTCCATCCCTTTTATTCACCCCATCTTTATCTTCTTTGACACAGGCCCAGAAATCTGATGATTCTGTTGAAAATGTTTGACTTTTCTCCTCCTTAATTTTATGTCAGATCTTTGGCTTGTTTGTCAATCTAGTGTTCCTGGGTCAGGCCTTTACCATTATGCTCGTCTACATATGGAGCAGGAGAAATCCTTACGTCAGGATGAACTTCTTTGGGCTCCTTAATTTTCAGGCTCCATTCCTGCCCTGGGTACTAATGGGCTTCTCATTGTTGCTTGGGAATTCAATCATAGTGGATTTGCTAGGTAAGGAAGCAATGTCATGTCAAGGAAAAACATTGAATGGGATGAGAGTGGTATTTTTCGAATGTCAGTATGTCTGAATGTAAATATGATATGATTTGATCATTTCACGGTATTATTTGGGGAGGAAACTGAAAATTTTGTGTGGTTAACTGTCGGTGCTATTCTGCATCCGAATCAATTCTGAATTGTATACTGCTCATTTTTAGAAATTAAAGTAACCTGTAACTCTGCTTAATAGATGTCTGATTTTTAAGTAGCCCATTAATCCTTTGACCATCATCTGCTACCTTTAATATTATTAGAAGATAATATATCCCTGGACATTAACCATTAGTAGACCGAATAGAAACAGATTAGCAGCACCATGGCTCAGTGGTTAGCACTGCTGCCTCACAGCGCCAGGGACCCAGGTTCGATTCCACCCTCGGGCGACTGTCTGTGTGGAGTTTGCACACTCTCCCCGTGTCTGCGTGGGTTTCCTCCAGGTGCTCCGGCTTCCTCCCACACTCCAAAGATGTGCAGGCTAGGTGGATTGGCCATGCTAAATTGCCCATAGTGTTCAGGGATGTGTAGCTTGAGTGGAATATGGAGGCTAGGTCAATGTGGACTTGTTGGGCTAAAGGGCCTGTTTCCACACTGTAGGGATTCTGTGATCTATGAGATAGAAATATCATAACAGGAATAAAAATCTCATACAAGCAAAAGTCTCAAACATTACAGATCCTGTTACTTTACTTCCTGTTTTATCAGTTCATTTGCATTTCCATCATCTCTTTAGTTATTCACACAGCTAGGAAAGTGATTATTGTCTTGTGCAGATCCATCCAGTACAGGTCACCCCTGCCCAGTCTGATTGTTGAGACATTGGAATCAGGATTAGACGATGCAAACCTTTCCCTCCAGCAGCATTTTTCTAGCTTGTATTTAACTGTTTTGTACTGACTTGGGCGTGCAATCCCTTGAGATCATGCTTCTGATCTCTCACTTAATTTGTACAGCCACTTGGACGTTCTGCACGCGACAATCGGTATGACGACATGAACCGCAAAATTGACTTCCTGTACTGGAAGTCACCGCACACACAGATCTCACAGCCTCATGCAGCAGAAATAGTAGTTAGAAGGAATGCTGGTTATGATCCCAGATGATGGTAATACTGGACAAGTCAGATCCTAGAAGTAAACCTAGCTGGATAGATCATATTTTGCCACTTCAACACACGACAGTGTTCCCCAGCTAACATCTCTGTTGCAGGCTTGCTGCAGTGCTCCAGCAAATCTCAGCGCAAGCTGGAAGAGTGGCACCTTATTTTCTGCAGCCTCCTGGACTTAATATTGACTTCAACAATTTTAAAACTTGAGGCCAAAACTTTACCCCAACCGCCACACATGAGGTCTTGTCATCACGTGGGCTGCTACCACACCCAATCCATTGTCAGCTACCAATAGCACCCATTAACAGCTTTCATTTCCCCAGACTAACTTTCAATCATTCCTTTGTCTAACTGTTTTTCTGTCTGTTTGGGCTCTATCTCCACCTATCATTTACTCTCGCCTCTCCCCCCACCTCATCTTCTGTATAAATAATAACCTTTTCCTAGGTAGCATCAGTTCTGCAGAAGGGTCACTGGACCTGAAATGCTAACTTTGATTTCTCTTTACAGATGCTGCTAGACCTGCTGAGCTTTTTCCAGCAATTTCTGTTTTTGTTTCTGATTTCCGGCATCTGCAGTACTTGCAGATTTTTGTGTATGTGTATTGATGGATCATGTGTTTTTATCTGTTTGGCTAGTTAACTTGGTGGTTAGTCACAAGGACATATCCACTGGAGGCTGTAGATTTTCTTATCAGTACAACAAAATGTTATTACAAAAAAGAATAATTAAAAATACAAGCTGTCTAAATATAAATGACAATTAACAAGATCTAACTAAGAACACAGCACAGCTAAATTTCAACCTTTTTCCTGCCCATTACAGACACATTCAAGTCCAGAGAAATTGCACCCCTATCTCAACTCTAAATTTCTACTTAACTGATTTTATTTTTGCCTTGCGCTGTGGAGACAAATTGATGATGAGCCCTCTCCAAGTATGTTGTCGCAAATGTTTTGCACATCAGAGAACCTAACTTATCTTAGTTCTAATAACCTGTGGACTTCTAACCAAATTCTCATGATTTGGAAGTTTCATGAACTAAACCCTTCTAGGAAACGCCTTCTAGGAGGGAAACTATACTTGCACCTGCATTCAAGTTTGGTGTTTTTTGAACTAAATTTAAAATAAAACTTGCTCAATTTTAGATTCTTCTGAACTGAAAGCAATGATCTTAAATGTTTACCCTACCTGTCATAAACTCAACAGCATAAACATATTTCAATTAACTCCACCAAGGTGTGCAGTCAGCTGCTTTTTGACAAATGCTGAATTTAGTGCCCTGTTACACAATAACTCTCTGGCCTTTTTCATTTAAAGGAAAACTCTTCACAAAAGTAACCAACACCTATCACCTTCTATTTTGAAATAAAAATTCCAAAAATGATATTAATATGGATGTAAACCATTTTTTTTAATCATACAGCTTTTTCCTTCTCTAACACCTTTTGTACAGGGTTGATGGTGCTATTAGCCTGAGGATTTGAGAGAATTTTTACTTTTTCGTAAAGACTTTTAACACCAAAAGGAAATTGCATTCTCAAAGCTATATTTCATTTAAGTGAACAGTTCCTTTTGAGGTCCACAAAAGGAGTCAGACCACACTTCGGGGATTGAGGGAGCTGATTTGGGCAGCACATTTTAGGAAGGGAATATTGATCTTGAAGAAAATGTGATGTAGATTCACCATAGTGATACCTGGACTCCAAGGTTTAATTTACAATGAGATAAAAGATAGGGTGGTATTCCCTGGAACTTTGAAGGCAGGAGGGATGATTTGATAGCTAAATAGGATAGACAGAAGCTATTTCTTTTTGTGGGAAGTCTAGGACAGGTATTCGTAGCCTAATCACTAGAACCAGGTCTATTAGGAATTAATCTAGGAAACACTTTGTGTGTATGATTAAATCTGATATTAGTTTTATTAATGAATGGTATTTGGGAAATATGGGGTAAAGGTAGTAATTTGAAGTTAAGTCATCGATTAGCCCAGATAATAACTGAACACACTTGAGGGGCTAAATGGCCCTACTCCTGTTTCTAGAGTCTGGCACCATATCTCAGTCCTGCCAAATCTTGAGCCTTCTTTCTAATGCCCCAAGTACCCCTTTGTACCCAAAGAATCCTTATTCTCAAGGCATCCAGTACTTATAAAACCCTCATGGACCAAGAGTAAACAAGGGGTTTTGATGGAGCAAATAAGGCAAAATCATTTCCATTGACAAAGTTGAAATAATTGCAGTGGGGAAATGTGGAGAAATTCTTTTGTGCAGCAAGTTGCTTCATCTGGATTGCAAACCTGAAGGGAAGGCAGAAGAAGATTCAGTGCATTGGATAAATACTTTCTGGATAAAGAACAGGGGAGTGCACCTGATTGGGTAGCTTTCATAGGGCAGGCTCATGGGCTGTAAGACTCTACAATCCAAGGAAGTCTGAAAAATCCATTGCAGGTTGATGGTAATCTGGATGAAACAAGCCCTGGTGACAATATACTTCATTATGTATGGGATAGTAATTTAAGGTAATGCTGTGGCTATTTTGTCTTTCTAGCTTTACCTAGTTGTTGTTTCATTTTAGGAATCGCTGTTGGCCATATCTATTATTTTTTGGAAGACGTATTTCCAAACCAACCTGGTGGGGGTCGGCTGCTCAGGACACCAAACATTTTGTAAGTTCATTTTTACTGAAGTGATCATTCATTGTTTGGGACAAATCATAGAATCCGTACAGTGTGTAAGCAGGCCATTCAGCCCATCAAGTTCTCTTGAGCATCTCTGCAGAGCATGCTACTTAGACACACACCCCCACCCTGTCCCTGTAACAGTGCATTTTCTCTGGCCATTCCAGCTAACCTGCCCACCTTTGGACTGTGGGAGAAAACCAGAACACACAGTGGGAACCCATGCAGACATGAGGAGAATGTGCAAACTCCACACAGACCGTCACCCAAGGCTGGAATCGAATCCAGGTCCCTAGTGCTGTGAAGCAGCAGTGCTAACCACTGAGCCACTGTGCTGCCCACAAATATTGGAGGGTTCCTAAAGTATATGGAATGGTGCTTGAATTGTGGTATTAAGGATCAAATATCAGTGAATTGTTTAATTGAACCTGCTCTCCCATATTCTTATTGAGTGGGAAATTGTCCATAATCTGTGTGATGTTGATTGATTTGATATGCCTTGAATCTCCATGAGTACCTCACTAACTGCAGCTCCCTGTGTGAAGCTGCAACTCACTGCTTGATTTTGTTGGATTATAAAATGGTCCAAATGGTCCTTTTATACACAAAAAAAACTCTCCATTGTCCTCTAGAGTTACTAACCTATCTGTAATCTCCCTTTGAGAAGTATTGTCACTGACCACCGCCCTTCTTTTCAATTATGCTCTAGTTTGCAATCTTCTGTTAGAATGAAGGCTGTCCTGAGCTGAGTTAACCAAGAGGCTGTATGTGACTGCAGTATGTTTCTCCTTGTTCCTCCTTACAGTCAATCACTCTGTCCTCCTCCAGCTCTCCCCTCTTTTAAATACATACAGGTGGCATGGGGAAACAGGGCCTGGAGGTTAAAGTTTAAGTGGGGAGGGACTGATGTATGTTTTGGGAGGTGTTTAGATTTTCAGAGTTGCAGTTTGGTTTTGCAGGTGTTGCTTGCTAACTGTTTAACAGCAGATACTTCTTATTACTCCTGACCTGCTTCACAATTTTTGCGTATCCATTGATGCAGAGATAGATCTGGAGATTACGACATGACAAATTATGACAAATCCGTTGGCCATCCATCACCTGCTTTGCCAGCTCGGAGACAAGAGTCCATTGTTGCCTTGTTGGCATCTTGAGCTGATCCACTTGGTGTGGCCACCTTTATTCATCTTGAATTTTCATAGAATCCCTACCGTGTGGAAACAGGCCCTTCAGCCCAACAAGTCCACACCAACCCTAGGAGCATCCCACCCTGACCCATCCCCCTATAACCAACCTAAGCTACACATTCCTGAACACTACAGGCAATTTAGCATGGCCAATCCACGTAGCTTGCACATCTTTGGACTGTGGGAGGAAACCTGAGCACCCAAAGGAAACCCACGCAGACACGGGGAGAATGTGCAAACTCCACACAGACAGTTGCCCGAGGGTGGAATCGAACCTGGGTCCCTGGCGCTGTGAGACAGCAGTGCTAACCACTGAGCCACCGTGCTGCCCTATTGTACAGTGTATCATACTGCTGTGTTTATTCCAGGAGTAAAGACTGATTTTGTGCTTTGTTCCTGTTGTGTACTACTGTGTAGAATGTGATCTTGATCTGATAATTCACACCCAGTCTGATGTGCGAGTATTGCTATTGACTCTATTGCACGTTGTTTCCATAACTTATCTCAGGAATGGGCTCTGTTTTCCCTGGCAGGAAAGTTGTTTTCGATATTCCGGAAGAAGACCCCAACTACAACCCGTTGCCCGAGGACCGGCCTGGGGGTTTCAACTGGGGTGAAGGACAGCGACTTGGGGGCTAGACTCAAATCAACTGTAAGCAGCACTCACACTGCAGGGCTTCAAAGGATATATTTGTTCTCTTTTGCCTCCCTACTGTTACCTGTCACCCTGGTTCAGTTCAATAAATGCCACCTTGCAGACTGCCAACGACCCACCAACCAGCAAGCACTTTCTGTACGATGGATACCTGTCAAATCTCGAGGATGAATTACAATTGGCCGACAGTGCCTGCAGCTTTGTCTGTTATACTGGAATCGCTGACGTTTCAATGAGATCTGTTCCATCAAACTGGACATCTGAGTGTTCACGTTAATTGTCTCTTGGAAGATCAATCTTTGAAGTCACATTCATCTTAGTAGAATGTGTAGCCATAATTTTTATATAACTGATCGTTTTTATGAGCAATTGCTGACCGCTGTAGGAATTCTTTTTACGATGAAAACAGAACTCAACCCATCAAACCTCACTGAACACGGAGATCAAATTTCTGAGCAAAAAGCCAGCAGATGGAGTCCGATCTATTCTCAGCAGGATTAATGCAAGAATATGTTACCTAAGCACAGTCAACTTGCACAGTCTTTCCATTGATCTATTTTGTCAGTCACACATGTAGACAGCTAAGCCCAGTAAATGTCAGTCGAGCCTCTAGCTAATCAGTATTGGTTAAACAGACCAACCCTTTGCTATTGCACATTCTTTCCATGTTACAGGCTGGTGTCAGATGACTGTAACCTGGTCAAACACAAAGAAACCTTTAGATAATTAACCACCAATAATCTGACAATATCTTCAGAACTTTTTCAGTGTTACGGTGCCTGGCAACTAGATACCATAAACCTGTGGCTAGATCAAGGTAAAAATGTGTTTGCTTGTGATGTGTTAACTCTGAGATTCATAGTCCCACACAACACAACCCAATGTAAGCAGCCCCGAATAATGAAGTGGGCAGGTAAACTTGCTTGCTGTCAGAAATGATTTGGTAGCAGGAGGCAGGCGTATCGTGAGTATTTCAGATCCATTGCATGTAATGGGAGGGTGAGATGGTGTTTTCTGAAAATTAATTCTCTATTAAATTCTTACAAATTAATTAGCAGCACCCAATTGTAGAGGGGTATCTCAATCAAATTGCCTACAAATCCAAATACTAAGAATGTCTGGTCTATATTACAACAGCCAGTTGGATTAATTCCATCAAATAAACATGTAGAACACAATGCTTGTGTTCACAATGTGCCACATTGGTCTTACTTGAGCGGGTGACCCACTGAGAGAAGCTGATCGCAGGCTGGAGTTACTAACATTTGATTACAAAGCAGAGTTTTAATTCCAAGGTCCAAGATCACCACCTAGGAAATGCTGTGAGCATAGTGGGACTAACAGCAAATAAACCAAAGGGCTGTGAACCAAGGGCAATACTGTGATCATGCAGGGAGATTGACAGGCTACCAAACTGCTTTCCTCATACAAAAGCAAAAACATTGCAGATGCTGGAAATCTGAAATGTGAAGATGCTGAAAATAATGAGCAGGTCAGGCAAAATTTCTGAAGAGAGAAGGCTAATATTTCAGGTTGATGATGTTTCATGGGATAGTCTGGACACTGGGGAGAACTAATGGTATGTCGATATTTTATGTTGTTTTGAAAACCTGTACACCAGTAAATCACAGGCCTGTGCCTGGGTACTAATGGGCTTGTACTGCAAAGTTTGAAACCTTTTAATCAATTCACATTTGTGCCAAATCTGAAGTACTTTAGATGATTCTAATCATAAAATTTGACTCCCATGATCTGTGATGATTTGCTGATTGTGAAGCTGTTAAGTATAATTTGTGTTTACAGCAGCTTGTCGAGTTTTGTTTCTACACAGAGCTACATTCAGCTAGTTTCTTAACTCTTTCAGTGCATTTGATAGAGTGGACAGAAGTCTTGTTTTTATCCTCTCTAGTCATTTTAATCAAAATCTTTTGACAGGAATTAAATTATTTCAGTTAAATTATTTATCTCCTTGAGGTTCCTTTTTGTACATGTTTCACCCCTCATTCTGCAGAGAGGGGGAGTGGAGGTATTGAGATAACTGTTCAATGTCCAGAAATATTGCTGATGGATAGATACTGAGATACAGCAGTCATGCGACAGATATCTCCATGAGGCGGGACTGTAAAATGCCAGTTGGCGTCCAGATATGTTTCCAAGGGAGATGATCAGGATACAAGAAACAGTCTGCAGAAATCTACCTGAGAGTCTGGAGACTGAGGGATCCTACTCAGTGTACAGATATCACTGAGGGAGAGGAAGTGAGAAACTGCAGTCTCTAAACAGATACCTCCTTGAAAGAAAGAAACTGCAGGGACCAGATTGATGAAGAAATGGCAGTTGTCACAATGCTCAAGAATCTTGCACTTAAATAGCGCTTTTTCATCACCTTAAAATGTATCAACTATTCTCTAGCTAAGGAAAGACTTTTGAAATGCTGTCACTACTATGACACAGCAAGATCCCACACTTGGCAGTGTGGTAGTGACCATATCATTTGTTTTTAAATTATGCTGATTAGGAGATGAATATTGACCTGAACACCAGATACATGGAATGGACAGATGAGTGGCAAGTGGCAGGTGAAATTTAATGCAGAGAACTATGAAGTAATTAATTTTGGTGGGAAGAACAAAGAGATAATATTCTAAGGGAAGTGCAGGAATAAAGAGCTAGGGTATATGTGCAGGAATCTTGACAGGTTTGTGAAAAGAGTTGAGGGGCTGAGTTGTAAAAGTAGAGGTGAAAGATATAAAAACAAGGACATTATGGTGAACCTTTCTAAAATACTGGTTAGCCTCAAATGAAATATTGTTTAGATCTGGGCATTGCACTTAAGGATGGGAAGGTTTTGGAGAGAATGCAGAAAACATTCATAGATATGTGGTGTTATGGAGAGGAGGTTGAACCCCTCTGATAATTAAAAACTAAACACCCAGAGAAGCTTGCCTGGCCTCATAATCTGATAAAGGAAATGGGAAAAATGGTGTAACATGCCTTTCACCTCCCAAACTGTTACAAAGGAGAGGTTAAACGAAATGAAATCCTCTTCACTCACTCTATACTCAACAAGTAACAATTTATTCATCTAACTCTTAACAGTGAATAAGTTAACAAACTACTAACAAACTGAACAATTCCCCCTTAACTAGTAACTATTCCCTAATAAAACAAAATTCTAATGGTATGCTGTTTCAATAAATACAAGTCCCACTTATAAACCAAAGTAATAAGAAAAAAATACATTAAAACTTAGACTCTCAAAACTACAATCAGGGTGTGTCTTCCGGAATGCTCTGCACCCTTTCTACTGATCCCCAGCTACGAATGCTTTTCTCCGTTGAATTCTAGTGTCTGAAACACCTCTCTCCATTGAACTCTGGTGTCAGGAATATTAGCTAAGAGTGCCGTGGTACCTTTTAGATGGTGCTTAATCAGAGAGCTTAAAGATTTCTGTGAAAGCCAGAGTTTTACTCTTCTGATGGCAGTTCGCTGTCACTCTGATTTTCAAAAACCCTCTTCTTATATACCCTTGATGACATGTCAATTTTCTTATGATAGGATTGGTCCTAGCTTGTCAACACCATCAGATTTAAATTCAGTTGGCTTTCAGTCTCTAAGTATCTGGTTTAAATTAATTGGCTGATATTCAAGCTGGCTGCCTTAACATCAAAACAAGCCTAAGTTTCCAACCATACAGCCAATTGATACATATGTTTCAATTTCAGAACTGTATGTACATCTGCAGTATGTACATTTTTGTCTAAATCTCCAAGGTTAAGAAAGCACATCACCTCTTAAAAGGACTATGCACTCTTCCCCTCTATCATTTTTGCAAACAAATTCTAACTTCCGGCTTTCCAATTCACAAGTACTCTACACAACTTTGCAACAGTGGATAGATTGGACAAGTTGACTGAAGACAAAATACCATGGATGCTATAAATCTGAAACAGATTCAGAGAACAGTGAAGAAACTCAACAGGTTTGGCAGCACCTGTGGACAGGAAAAATGTAACATTTCAAGTCCAGTGACTATTCAGAACTGAAGAAAAGTCACAGAAGACTCTTCTCTCTTCACGGATGCTGACAGACCTGCTGACTTTCTCCAGCATTCTCTGTGTTTGGAGAAATTGGGACTGTTCTCCTTGGAGATGAGAAGGTTGAGAAGAAAAGAATAGGAAGAAACCATTCCCATTGGTGAAAGGATCTAGAGCAAGATGGCTCAGGTGAGGTGGAACTGGGGGAGAAGGGAATAGCAGAAGTAACAATAAATGTAGGGACTTCACACAGCAAGTATTTTGAACCTGGAATGCATTGTTTTGAGTATGTGGTGAAAGTTCAATTACGACTTTTTAAAGGGAATTATTTGAAATAGGAGAAAATGCGGCAATGGGATGAAGGCAGGGCAGTGGCTCTAGGTGAATTGCTCCTTCAGAGAGCAATTATACAGTAGTCTGAATGGCCTCACTCTGGGATGTAACCATTCTGTGACTCATTTATGAGAATGGATCCAGGGACGAGGTGCTGAAATGTAAGGAAAGATTAGAGAAACTAGGATTGTTTTTCTCTCGAGAAGGTTGATGGGAAATTTGATGCAACATTCAAAACCATGAGGGATCCAGACAGAGTTCATCGAGACAAATTGTTCCTAATTCGAGGTTCGCGAACCACAGGGCACAGATTTAGAGTGATTGACAAAAGAACCAATGTCTAAATGAGGAAAAAACTTAAATGAGTGGTTCAGATGTGCAGTGTGCTGCCTGAGAATGTGGTGAAGTCAAATTCAAACAGGGTTTTCAAGAAGAAACTGGGTAAGTACCTGAAGTGAATATATTTGTGGGTCTGCGGGAAAAGGACAGGGGAGTGGGGCAAGTTGAGTACCTCTTGCAGAGCTTCAACAGGTGAAATGGTCTTCTTAGCTGTAATCATTCTATAATTCTTGTAGAAACTACAGCATTCTGGAAGATTATAACCAATGCATCACAATTTCTGTGGTTACCTCTTTTGCACAAGGATGCAGATAATGATGTACAGGGGATGTGTTACTACTAAGTTCTATTGATTTTGCCAGGATTACTAGTTATGCTGGTCTTTTAAGTTCCTCATTCCTGCTAAACCTTTGGTTCCTAATGATTCCAGGGTTATTTTTGTGTCTTGTAGGACAGATAAATTATTTGGTTAAAGTCTCTGCCATCTAATTTAACCTATCTTGGCCTCTAATGAGTTCATGTTTACTTCCACCAGTGCATTTCTATTTACAGAGCTATTAACATTTCCACAATTTGTTTTCGTATCTCTTTCTAGTCTACTTTTACATTCTCTTGCTTATCAATTTCTTGGTTGTCCTTTGCCGAATTCTAAAATCCTCCCAATCTTCAGGCTTACTAAACCGTTTGGCAACATTATAATGTTTTTGTTATGATCTGATACCATCCTTAATTCCTCTTATTAACTGTGGTTGTTTACCATCATATCTTCTAATGTAGTTTCCAAATTTATCTTAACCAAATTGCCCTCATATATTTTGCATTGTTTAGATTTGAGACCCTAGCTAAATCACTTTCAAACTCATCATGAAATTCCATCAGGGTCTGGTCACTTCCTTAGTTATTCCTTTCCATAAGATTATGAATTTTTCCTTTACCATTGCACAGTAGTCAATACCAACTAGCTTATTCTCCAGTTGGTTCTCCATTGTACTGCTCTGGAAAACTAACTTGAATTTATTGCATGAACTAATCTTCCACACTATAACTGCAAATTTATTTGGCCAGTCTTTAAGAAGATCTATAACACCATTATCTTTATTAAATGTACATTTACTTTCCTGATTTAAACTCATTCATACACTGCAACCACTGTTAGGGCCCAAAAGCAATGCAATCCTAGTTAGTGGAATCTCTGCCTATAATTTAGCTTTGAAGTAGAGGTATCATTTTGGTAAACGTATGCTGCACTCCCATCAAAGCCAATATATCCTTTTTACAGAACTGCTGTCATTACTCTGTGTGCTGTCTGACCAGGGTTTTGAATTGCTTCAATCTGATTTCACCTCTTGGTTTATAGTCCTCTACCTATAAAGGCCCGCATTCCATTAGCTCTAATGATTATTTTCTGAACATTGTTTTCATTTATGTCTTGGGATTTGCACCAACGTTTTGCACCATTTACAGATCATCTTAATCCCTTCTTTTTAGGTCCAAAGTTTCCTACACTGAAAACCATTTCCCACAGTTTTGGCGATTAATCTATCAGTATCTCTGTAAATTTTATACTTTCATCTAAATTGCTTATAATGTAATTTATCTTTTGTGTCATTGGGAAATTTGGATATATGGTTATCTATCAAGTGGGAAGCATAGCATAGTGGTAATGTCACTTGACTACGGATCTACCAGCCCAGACTAAAGGCCTGCAAGACATTAATTTGGATCCCACCGTAATAGATGGTGAAATCTAAATTTGATAAAATCGGAATGACAAGCTCGTCCGGTGGTGACCATTCAACCAATGTTGATTATCGTACAAGCCCATCTGAAACGTTAATATCCATTAGAGAAAGAAATCTGCCATCCTTGTATTGTAACAGGGTAGGATTAATCTTTTGGTGAAGACATCCCCTAGGTGTCAGCAACCATAAAATGGTTAAATTTTACATTCGGTGTGAGGGGGAAAAGAGGGGGTTTGTGACTTTTCTAAATTCAGATAAGGACAGTTATGAAGGTATGCAAGCAGAGATGGCTAAAATGAATTGGCAAGTTAAGTAGGTCAGTAGAGATACAGTGGGATATTTCATAATAGACACATTCCAACAAGCAAGGAAAATTTCTGCAGATCCACCAACTGTGTTTAACTAGAGATGTTAAAGATAGTACCAAACCAAAAAAAAAATGTATATAAGTGTGCAAAGATGAGTGGCAGCTCAGAAGATTAGACATAATATAAAAAAAAGCAAAGGAT